TGTTTAGTTTGTTGCTCTGCTAGTCTTAACTGAGCCTCCAACTCAAGGTGTTTTGTCTGGTTCTGCAACTCCAATTTTTGCTTGTCTGCTGCCAGCTCAAGGTGTTTTTGCTGGTTCTGCAACTCCAACTTCTGTTTGTCTGCTGCCAGCCTAGCCATTTCTAATTGAGTCTCCAACTCCAACTTTAAGATTGCCACCTTGTCACTTGACTCTTCTTCTAACTCTCCCAAACACTCTTCTTCAAGTTTCTCCTCCTCCACCAAGTGTGTGACAATCACTCTTAACACTTGAGCTTTCAACATTTTACTGGAAATTGCTAGGTTCAATTTATCAGCCAGCAATAACAAACCAGACTTCTTTAAGTCTTTAATTTTACCAAAATTTGGCTGATCCACCAGCGCAGCAACCTGATCCTCCATGGTTGGCTCAATAATCACCACTTACACTTGAAACAACACTGAAAATTATGCTTGGCCCCTGGCACAAGCTGAACACTTACCTCAAATCGTGAAGCGAGAAGTTTTCACAGCAGCTCAGATTGAACAGATAATTTCACAGGCTTGATTAGGTGTCACTAGATAATCACAGAGTATCTAGGAAGGCAATTGCTATTAATAATTAGCACTGTTAATTGTACAAACATTACAGGGAATTAAGGTTTAATCTCCCGGACACAGGCCCTCATTTGTTACCACCCTTGGGACTAAATAAGGTTCTTCTCTCCGCAGTGTAAGGAAATGGTAATAAATCAGCCTTGCCAACAAATGTCTAGGGGTATACATACATCACTGCATAAAATGGAGAACAATATATTTATGCTAAGGGGACAAACATAACAACTATTAAATGTATAAATAATAGCCAGAAATATCCTTCAGCATGCAATATCATAGAATGAAATTATTGAGACATGAGCAATATCACCAGAACATGGATTAATACATAGTTATACACAAATCATCTAACCAGATAATTAACATTTATATGAGCTAAAATAACAGTGACCAATGACTTAACTTATAACACGACTCCTCTCGACAATAGCCGCCGACCGAAACGTCGTCGTCCCTTCAACTTCTAGTGTGTGGTCTGGTCAACATTCTTCAGCAACGTTATTGTGACTCATCGCCTTCCATACAATAATACGGCAACCAAATATGGGAATTAATCAAGATAAATCTATAAACACTCGATTGACAACAATATTCCCACACTGGCCATATCCAAATATGGTCAACCGTCCACACGGAGAAACTAAATGAGAAATCTAACACAAAAGCCTCATACAATATAATGCAACTCAGGCACACTACAGCATGCTATAATATATAACATACACAATCTTATATCATACAACTGGATGCTATATTAATTAATTATAGAACAAGATAATAAAGTAATAAGAATCAAGAGTAATGTTAGAATCCTAGTAAGATTCGTAACAGAAGGTACATCAAGGACAAGGGTTATTAATTTATATAAAAAATAATAATAACAATTATTAAACACTGCCAACACCTTCCAACATAAATGAATGTGTCTAAAATTATTGGGACCCTAGGAAGGCAGGAACGCATTAATCAGGGAACTCAAAGGGTAAGTAAATGAATCTAATGGATTAATACTGTAATCATACTGAACTGAACGGAAGATCCTAGAGCGACTTTACTTCTCATAAGATGGGGAACACATTGGAATTTCTAGCACAGCAAATGAAAATCACAAGAATGAATAACACAGTCATTAATCAAAGGGAACAGATAATTAAACACGAATACAATTAAAATTACTTTATTATTGGAACCCGTATATTTAAATCAAAATTGAAACATAGCCTACTGTAAATAAAAAGAACCTACGAGGAAATGGAATGTAATACCAATGTTACACAACTCACGGGCACAATTACCTTCAATACTGCAGCTTACCAAAGGATGTTGATTGGCTGCCCGCAGGTCACTTGACCTGTACCTCAGTCGAGGCCCCAAGACACACTAACACTTCTTTATTAAAACGCTTACCAGTGGGACAGGCTCCACCCCCTAGTTCCTAGGCCCAAATTAACTCCGCCTATCCCAAGCCTTTGGCCAATCAATTTAAACATAACTAGGTGATCTAGAAACCGGGCCAATGGCATGGGCAGGCACTACCCTGTGAGGCCCCGCCTCCACAGACCTACATGTCTTCAACCAACCTGGATCAGGCTTGACCATAAGGGTCAATTCCTCTTGACAGAAACTCCAAAAACTGGGAAGACACCAACGACTTTCCTGAGGGAATGCCGGCTGGGTACCCATGTGTAAATTGAGATCACAAGTTTATTAGCCCTGGGATACTATTTTCAATTCTTCACTGGACAGATGGACGGAGAGCGAGGGGAGCAAGTGGCTTCAAGATGTTTATAACCCCGAGGGTTAGACTGTGACAAAAGACAGGGATGACCCAAAGGGAGGGAAGGCAAGCGAGAGAAGGGAAGAGGAAGAGGAAGGAGACATCAAAGGGGGAAGGGGAAAGGGAAGGGGCTATGGTGTGCATATACCATTACACCACTATAGTACAATAGCCTGGCCTACACCACTATAGCCTGACCTACACCACAGTGGTACTATAGCCTGACTTACCCAACTATAGCCTGACCTACACCAATATAGCTTGACGTACACCACTATAGCCTGGCCTACACCACTATGGTACTATAGCCTGACCTACACCACTATAGCCTGGGCTACACCACTGTGGTTCTATAGCCTGACCTACACCACTATAGGCTGGCCTACACCACTGTGGTACTATAGCCTGGCCTACACCACTGTGGTACTATAGCCTGGCCTACACCACTATAGCCTGGCCTACACCACTGTGGTACTATAGCCAGACCTACACCACTATAGCATTGCCTAGACAATTGTAATACTATAGCCTGACCTACACCACTGTGGTACTATAGCCTAACCTACACTACTATAGCCTGGCCTTCAGCACTATAGCCTGGCCTACACCACTGTGGTACTATAGCCTGGCCTTCACCACTATAGCCTGTCTTACACCACTATAGCCTGACCTACACCTCTATAGCCTGAACTACACCACTATAGCCTAGCCTACACCACTAAAGCCTGGCCTACACCACTATAGCCTGGCCTATACCACTATATCCTGACCTACACCACTATGGTACTATAGCCTGGCCTACACCACTATGGTACTATAGCCTGGCCAACACCACTATGGCCTGGCATACACCACTATAGCCTGGCCTACACCACTATAGCCTGGCCTACACCACTATAGCCTGGCCTACACCACTATAGCCTGACCTACACCACTATGGTACTATAGCCTGGTCTACACCACTATAGCCTGGCCTACACAACTGTGGTTCTATAGCCTAACCTACACCACTGTGGTACTATAGACTTGCCTACACCACTATGGTACTATAGCCTGGCCTGCACCACTAGGGTACTATAGTCTGTCCTACACCACTATTGCCTGACCTACACCACTATAGTACTATAGCCTGGCCTACACCACTATAGCCTTGCCTACACCACTATGGCCTTGCCTACACCACTATGGCCTGGCCTACACCACTATGGTACTATAGCCTGGCCTACACCACTATAGCCTGGCCTACTCCACTATAGCCTGGCCTACACCACTATGGTACTATAGCCTTGCCTACACCACTATGGTACTATAGACTGGCCTACACCACTATAGCCTGGCCTACACCACTATGGTACTATAGCCTGGCCTACACCACTATGGTACTATAGCCTGGCCTACACCACTATGGTGCTATAGCCTGGCCTACACCACTATGGAACTATAGCCTGGCCTACACCACTATGGTACTATAGACAGGCCTACTCCACTATAGCCTGGCCTACACCACTATGGTACTATAGCCTGGCCTACACCACTAAGGTTCTATAGCCTGGCCTACACCACTATAGCCTGGCCTACACCACTATGGTACTATAGCCTGACCTACACCACTATGGTACTATTGCCTAGCCTACACCACTATGGTACTATAGCCTGACGTACACCACTGTGGTACTATAGCCTGGCCTACACCACTATAGCCTGGCCTACACCACTATGGTACTATAGACAGGCCTACTCCACTATAGCCTGGCCTACACCACTATGGTACTATAGCCTGGCCTACACCACTATGGTGCTATAGCCTGGCCTACACCACTATGGTACTATAGCCTGACCTACACCACTGTGGTACTATTGCCTGGCCTACACCACTGTGGTACTATTGCCTGGCCTACACCACTATGGTACTATAGCCTGACCTACACCACTATGGTACTATAGCCTGACCTACACCACTGTGGTACTATTGCCTGGCCTACACCACTATGGTACTATAGCCTGACCTACACCACTATGATACTATTGCCTGGCCTACACCACTATGGTACTATAGCCTGACGTACACCACTATGGTACTATAGCCTGACCTACACCACTATGGTACTATAGCCTGGCCTACACCACTGTGGTACTATTGCCTGGCCTACACCACTATGGTACTATAGCCTGACGTACACCACTATGGTACTATAGCCTGACCTACACCACTATGGTACTATAGCCTGACCTACACCACTATGGTACTATAGCCTGACCTACACCACTGTGGTACTATTGCCTGGCCTACACCACTATGGTACTATAGCCTGACGTACACCACTATGGTACTATAGCCTGACCTACACCACTATGATACTATTGCCTGACCTACACCAATATAGCCTGGCTTATACCACTATGGTACTATGTTGGCTCGGTAGGAGCCAACAGTCAACTATGGAACTATAGCCTGACCTACACCACTATGGCCTGGCCTACACCAGTATAGCCTAGCCTACACCACTATGGTGCTATAGCCTGGCCTACACCAGCCATAGCCCGGAGCCAACAGTTCAGGGCAATGACTGTGTTCAATATGAGCCAATAGTTCAAGGCTAGGGCTGAGTTCAGTATGAGCCAACAGTTAAGGTCTGGGCTGTGTTCATTAGAAGCCAACAGTTCAGGGAAGGGCTGTGTTCAGAAGGAGTCAATAGTTCAGGGTTAGGGGTTTGTTCAGTAAGAGCCAAAAGTTCAGGGCTAGGGCTGTGTTCAGTAAGAGCCAACAGTTCAGGTCTAAGGCTCTGTTCAGTGTGAGCCAACAGTTTAGGGCTAGGGCTGTGTTCAGTAGCAGCTAATAGTTCAGGGCCTAGAGTGTGTTTAGTAGAAGCCAACAGTTCAGGGATAGACCTGTGTTCAATATGAGCTAACAATTTAGGGCTAGGGCTTTGATCAGTAGGAACCAACAGTTCAGGGGTAGGGCTGTGTTCAGTAGGAGGCAACAATTCCGGGTTAGGACTCTGTTCAGTAGGAGCCAACAGTTCAGGGCTAGGGTTTCGTTCAGTAGAAATAAACAGTTCAGGGCTTGGGCTGTGTTCAGTAGGAGCCAACAGTTCAAGGGTTAGGGCTCAGTAGGAGCCAATAGTACAGGGCTACGGCTGTGTTCAGTAGGAGCCAACAGTTCATGTCTAGGGCTCAGTAGGAGCCAATGGTTCAGGGCTAAGGATGTGTTCAGTAGAAGCCAACAGTTCAGGGCTGGGCTGTGTTCAGTAGCAGTCAACAATAATTGGGCTAGGGCTGTGTTCAGTAGGAACCAACAGTTCAGGGCGTGGGCTGTGTTCAGAAGAAGCCAACATTTCAGGGGTAGAGCTGTGTTCAGTAGGAGCTAACAGTTCAGGGCTAGGGCTGTGTTCAGTAAGAGCCAACAGTTCAGAGCTAGGAATGTGTTCAGTAGGAGCCAACAGTTCAGGGCTTGGGCGATGTTTAGAAGGAGGTAGCAGTTCAGGGCTAGGGCTGTGTTCAGTAGGAGCTAACAGTTCAGGGCTAGGGCTGTGTTCAGTTGGAGCTAACAGTTCAGGGCTAGGGCTGTGTTCAGTAAGAGCCAACAGTTCAGGGCTTGGGCTGTGTTTAGTACCAGCCAACAGTTCAGGGCTAGGGCTGTGTTCAGTATGAGCCAACAGATCAGAGCTAGGGCTGTGTTCAGTTGGAGCCAACAGTTTAGGGCTAGGGCTGTCTTCAGTATGGGCTAACAGTTCAGGGCTAGGGCTGTGTTCAAAATGAGCCAACAGTTCAGGGCTAAAGCTGTGTTCAGTAGGAGCCAACAGTTCAGGGCTAGGGCTGTGTTCAGTATGAACCAACAGATCAGAGCTAGGGCTGTGTTCAGTTGGAGCCAACAGTTTAGGGCTAGGGCTGTCTTCAGTATGGGCTAACAGTTCAGGGCTAGGGCTGTGTTCAAAATGAGCCAACAGTTCAGGGCTAAAGCTGTGTTCAGTAGGAGCCAACAGTTCAGGGCTTGGGCTGTGTTCAGTATGAGCCAACATTTCAGGGCTAGGGCTGCGATCGGTAGGAGCCAACAGTTCAGAGATGGGGCTGTGTTCAGAACGACCCAACAATTCAGGGCTAGGGCTGTGTTCAGTAGGAGCCAACAGTTCAGGGCTAGGGCTGTATTCAGTAGGAGCCAACAGTTTAGGGCTAGGGCTGTGTTCAGTAGGAGCCAACTGTTCAGTACTAGGGGCTGTGTTCAATAGCAGCCAACAGTTCAGGGCTGGGCTGTGTTCAGAAACAGCCAACAATGGTTGGGCTAGGGCTGTGTTCAGTAGCAGCCAACAATGGTTGGGCTAGGGCTGTGTTCAGTAGGAACCAGCAGTTCAGGGCTTGGGCTGTGTTCAGAAGAAGCCAACATTACAAAGGTAGGGCTGTGTTCAGTAAGAGTCAACAGTTCAGGGCTAGGGCTGTGTTCAGTAGGAGCAAACAGTTTAGGGCTTGGGCTGTGTTCAATAGGAGCCAACAGTTCAGGGCTATGGTTGTGTTCAGTAGGATCTAACAGTTCAGGGCTAGGGCTGTGTTCAGTAGGCACCAACAGTTCAGGGCTAGGGCTGTGTTTAGTAGGAGCCAACAGTTCAGGGCTTGGTCTGTATTCAGTAGGAGCCAACAGTTCAGGGCTAGGGCTGTGTTCAGTAGGAGGCAACAGTTCAGGGCTAGTGCTGGGTTCAGTAGTAGCCAGCAGTTCAGGGCTATGGCTGTGTTCAGTAAGAGCCAACAGTTCAGGGCAATGGCTGTGTTCAGTAGGAGCCAACAATTCAGGGCTAGGGCTGTGTTTAGTAGGAGCCAACAGTTCAGGGCTGGCGCTGTGCTCAGAAGGAACCAACAGTTCTGGGTTAGGGCTGTGTTTAGTAGGAGCTAACAGTTCAGGGCTAGGACTGTGTTTAGTTGGAGTCAACAGTTCAGGGTTAGGGCTGTATTCAGTAACAACCAACAGTTCAGGGCTAGGTCTATCTTCAGTAGGAGCCAAAAGTTCAGGGCTAGGGCTGTTTTCAATTGGAGCCAACAGTTCAGGGCTAGGGCTGTTTTCAATTTGAGATTTGAGCCAACAGTTCAGGGCTAGGGCTGTGTTCAGTATGAGCCAACAGTTTAGGGCTAGGGCTGTGTTCAATATGATCTAACAGTTCAGGGCTAGAACTGTGTTCAATATGAACCAATAGTTCCGGGCTACGGCTTTATTCAGTAGGAGCCAACAGTTCAGGGCTAGGGCTGTATTCAGTAGGAGCCAACAGTTCAGGGCTAGGGCTGCGTTCGGTAAGAGCCAACAGTTCAGGGATAGGGCTGTGTTCAGAACGACCCAACAGTTCAGGGCTAGGGCTGTGTTCAGTAGGAGCCAACAGTTCAGGTCTAGGGCTGTGTTCAGTATGATCCAGCAGTTCAGGGCTAGGGTTGTGTTCAGTAGGAGCCAACTGTTCAGGGCCAGGGCTGTGTTCTACAGAGTGTGCGAATAGGTGGGAGCCGGTCGGCCGAGCGGACAGCACACTGGACTTGTGATCCTGTGGTCCTGGGTTCGATCCCAGGCGCCGGCGAGAAACATTGGGCAGAGTTTCTTTCACCCTATGCCGCTGTTACCTAGCAGTAAAATAGGTACCTGGGTGTTAGTCAGCTGTCACGGGCTACTTCCTGGGGGTGGAGGCCTGGTCGAGGACCGGGCCGCGGGGACACTAAAGCCCCGAAATCATCTCAAGATAATCTCAAGGTATAATCCTCGGTTACTGCTAAATTTATCCGCCAAGGAAATATTAACGTAATTCACATCACATAATTCACATGAAGATGAAATCCTCTGTGTCAGTCCTGTGCTGTGTCAGGAGAGCCTAGTAACCCTCCTAGCCCCACTCTAACACCTTTGTTTCAACTCCATTAACATGGGACGCACTTTACTGATCAGCAAGAGAGCGTCTACCTGCTCCTGTGAGAGTGTCCAGGAGGGCCGAGGGCGACCTATTCCTGTGAGAGTGTCCAGGAGGGCCGAGGGCGACCTATTCCTGTGAGAGTGTCCAGGAGGGCCAAGGGCGACCTGCTCCTGTGAGAGTATCCAGGAGGGCCGAGGGCGACCTGCTCCTGTGAGTGTCCAGGAGAGCCGAGGGCGACCTGCTCCTGTGAGAGTATCCAGGAGGGCCGAGGGCGACCTGCTCCTGTGAGAGAGTCCAGGAGGGCCGAGGGCGACCAGTTCCTGTGAGAGTATCCAGGAGTGCCCAGTGCGACCTTGCCGCTTCTCTCCGATACTTACGGGACAAGAACTGCCTCCCCCAGTCACCGCCGAGACAAAACCACAACACCCAATATTCCTAAACTTGTCTCTGCCAAATACAACAACAACAACAGCTGACGAACAAAATATTTGTTTAGAATAGTTTCATGAATGGTGTTTTACCTGTACGGAAACACGATGAGAAGGAGACACTTTCTAACGGACTTCACTAACCGTCTCGTCCTTGACAAATCCAGGTCTGTCAGCACCTCTAGGTTGACACATCCAGGCCTGCCTCCACGTCTAGGTTAACTCATCCAGGCCTGCCTCCACCTCTAGGTTAACTCATCCAGGCCTGCCTCCACCTCTTGGTTGACACTCTGAATATATAGTTAGGCAGATAGATAGATGGATGGATATATAAAAGGACAGACGGGAGACAGACTGACCATCCCGGGTAATGCCAGGCCTTTAATTAATTAATAAATTAATTAATTCGAGAATTTACGGTTAACCCTTAACATACCAAAGAGGGGGGGGGGGGTCCTGGGTGGACCCCAGATAGTGATTTTTGTGATCCTGCCGTAACTATAACAACCAATTTAACTTTGATTTTTCTATTCCTCCCGGATGAGGTGACGATATATATTTCATTTTTATGCTTATAATGCGTTCTTTCAAAAACCGTAAAATAATGAAAACGCACTTGGGGGTCCCTGCAAGACCCCACTCTATACTACGTTACAGAAGATGATTGGTTTATTTCTTGTTTTGTACAGGACCAGAACACATTCAGGTCTTGTAGGAGTTCTGTGACATATTTTGAATTCAAAAATATATTTAAACAATCTGACAGAACAAATATTTGTGAAATAACGAAAAAATGGGGTCCCCAGAAGACCCCAAATGGTAAACAACGTTGACGACAAAGGCTTGGTATGTTAAGGGTTAAACTGAACAATATTTATAATACCAGCAGGTCAGAAGTAACATCTGTAGGGTGTAAGGTGTTATGAACCTTACCTACTGTGGAGGTTAGTTCTTATTATAAAGTGTTGGTGGACACATTGGAGAATGTTTTCTTGAAATAAATCTGCAGCTGATAACTGGGAGGCCGCGAGTCACCAGTAATACTCCGCAAAGCAAAGTAGTACCCTCTTAGCTGGAGATTGTCTAGGAATAATGTGTATTGGAATAGCCAAACTATGTGAGGGAAAAAATGGACTCAATTAAAAAGCATGCATGGGGAATATGGTAAATGAAGTGAATAAAACGTTTGATTGTAAATGTTAGGAATAGAGTATTAAGGGGCGATGACGCAAGAATGGTGGACGCCATCTTGACCTGAGTGGAAGTGGAACGTTGAAGACCAGACCTTTCTTACTGAGGGTTTTTCTCCGGCCGTAGAATCAGATAAGCCATAGTTTTATCTTAACAGCGTTGCAAGATAGTCTAGAGTACTCAGGCAGTCTATGGTGCTGTTTTGTGAGAGAGAATCCAGGTTTCCTAGTGGTTTATATATATGTGTGTCACAGGTGGGGTGGTGTAGTGGCTGTGTGCTCAGTTCCAGGGTTGGGACTGAGAGCCATAGGGTGTCCAGAGCCCGTTTGGGAGTTTTAATAACCAGGTTGTTACTTTCAGATTGACCTTGAGTCAAAAGGAGTACAATTATCGCCATATGTTATATAGTGTGACTTACATATAAATTTGTGTCTTTTGTACTTGGCTGTTTCCCTACTCCTTGATCTTCCCTTGGCTCAAGTAAAAGCTTCTATTTCCCTAGACAATATATAAAGGTCATCACCACACACCCACATTCGTGACATAAGGCAAAAATTTTATGTTGAAATAATGATCCCTTCTTATAAGTCCGGTAACATGTATGAAGGAAGCAAGGTGATGCCACCATAGAATTTCAGAGGAAGTTGTAAAAAAGGCCTCGTCAAAGACTTCTTTCAAAAGGAGCATATTGAAGATAAAGGTGTTAAGAGAGTTGGCAGTCATTCTAGACGTGTATGTGTCTGGGTATAGACACATACACGTCCACACACATGCATGTATGTGGGGGCCAGTGGCTGAGTGGACAGCATGCTGGCACATAATCCTGTGGTCCGGGGTTCGATTCCTGGTGCCGGCGAGAAACAATGGGCAAAGTTTCTTTCACCCTGATGACCCCTGTTACCTAGCAGTAAATAGGTACATGGGAGTTAGTTGTTAAAGGCTACTTCCTGTGTGCGTGTGTGTGTGTGAAAGAAAATTGTAATTAGTAACAGTTGATTGATTGACAGTTGAAAGGCAGGCCAAAAGAGCAGAGTTCAACCCCCACAAGCACAACTAGGTAAATACATGGGAATAGGCATGTATGTATCTGGTTATATATACAGACACGCCCTCATACACGGAAGTAAATGTGTAACTGTTTTGTTATATACACATACACCCCCACTCGTACACGGGAGTTGGCATGTATGTGTTTTGTTATTAACACAGACACGCCAACATATACACGTGTGTGGGCGTGCATGTGTCTAGTTATCTGTGGACCACTACCGACCACAATTCCCTTAGGACAGGGGTCTCCAAACTATGGCCCGCGGGCCACATCCGGCCCGCCACATAATTTCATCCGGCCCTCCAAACAAATCCCTGTGTGGTGGCCTTGAAAAAATAATTATCGTACGAATGGCATCGCAGAATTATTCAAAGCTGGGGCTGCTGACTGGTGGCGCTCAACCCAAGTCAGTTTTCCTCTCTCTCGATAGTGTGACGCACAGATACTAATACTGGTAGGTATGTGTTGTGCAT